GCTTTGTCAAGCCTGACCTTAAAAACTTCTAAGGAAGGAGATTCTACCACCTCCCTAGGGAACGCACTCCAGTGTTTCACCACCCTCCTAGTGAAAAAGTTTTTCCTAATATCCAACCTAAACCTCCCCCACTGCAACTTGAGACCATTACTCCTTGTCCTGTCCTCTTCGACCACTGAGAATAGTCTAGAACCATCCTCTCTGGAACCACCTCTCAGGTAGTTGAAAGCAGCTATCAAATCCCCTCTCATTCTTCTCTTCTGCAGACTAAACAATCCCAGTTCCCTCAGCCTCTCCTCATAACTCATGTGTTCCAGACCCCTAATCATTTTTGTTGCCCTTCGCTGGACTCTCTCCAATTTATCCACATCCTTCTTGTAGTGTGGGGCCCAAAACTGGACACAGTACTCCAGATGAAGCCTCACCAATGTCGAATAGAGGGGAACGATCACGTCCCTCGATCTGCTTGCTGTGCCCCTACTTATACATCCCAAAATGCCATTGGCCTTCTTGGCAACAACGGCACACTGCTGACTCATATCCAGCTTCTCGTCCACTGTCACCCCTAGGTCCTTTTCCGCAGAACTGCTGCCTAGCCATTCGGTCCCTAGTCTGTAGCTGTGCATTGGGTTCTTCCGTCCTAAGTGCAGGACCCTGCACTTATCCTTATTGAACCTCATCAGATTTCTTTTGGCCCAATCCTCCAACTTGTCTAGGTCCCTCTGTATCCTATCCCTGCCCTCCAGTGTATCAACCACTCCTCTCAGTTTAGTATCATCCGCAAATTTGCTGAGAGTGCAATCCACACCATCCTCCAGATCATTTATGAAGATATTGAACAAAACCGGCCCCAGGACCAACCCCTGGGGCACTCCACTTGACACCGGCTGCCAACTAGACATGGAGCCATTGATCACTACCCGTTGAGCCCGACAATCTAGCCAACTTTCTACCCACCTTATAGTGCATTCATCCAGCCCATACTTCTTTAACTTGCTGACAAGAATACTGTGGGAGACCGTGTCAAAAGCTTTGCTAAAGTCAAGAAACAATACATCCACTGCTTTCCCTTCATCCACAGAACCAGTAATCTCATCATAGAAGGCGATTAGATTAGTCAGGCATGACCTTCCCTTGGTGAATCCATGCTGACTGTTCCTGATCACTTTCCTCTCATATAAGTGCTTCAGGATTGATTCCTTGAGGACCTGCTCCATGATTTTTCCGTGGACTGAGGTGAGGCTGACTGGCCTGTAGTTCCCAGGATCCTCCTTCTTCCCTTTTTTAAAGATTGGCACTACATTAGCCTTTTTCCAGTCATAGATAAGAATAAGGCAGTTAAAGGTGCAAGGGTGGGGGGAATCTTGGACCTATAAAATTGGGTCAGGAAAATGAATTCTATAACGCTGCTATAGAACAACCTCCGACTGGCCCGATACAAAGGCGAGAATAACAAGTCTGAAAGTTTCTGACTGTGTAGTTGCCTCATTTTACAGAAAGACAGGCCAGGTAAAAATCTCTCTCTCTCTCTGTCCAGTTCAACCACATGCTCTCTATCTTTCCTCTGCTCTTCCTTTTAATCTACCCTGATACTGAATGCTTTTTTATTCACTTTTTTTATCATGTGCTTGCTAAATTGCCTTTTTAAACCTAGCTTTTAATGTTTTTATTCACTTTTTAAATATTATTTAATGCTGTATTCATTCTTTTATCATGTGCTTAGTAAATTTCCTTTTTAAACCCAGCTTTTAATGTTTTTTAGCCAGTTTTTGGCCATGTTTAGTAAATTTTCTTTTTAAACCTAGTTTTATAGCTTTTCTTTTTTTTTAGCAAGCTTTTGGCCATGTGTATACTAAACAGGTTTTGCCTTAATTTTTAATATTAATGGTTTTTTATTCACTTTTTTATCATGTGCTGAGTACATTCCCTTTTTAATCCTGTTTTTATAGCTTTTAATATAAGATAAAGATCCTCTCTCTCTCTCTTTGATTCAACCATGTGATCTCTATTTTTCCCCTGTTCTTTCTTTTAACCTCCCCTGTTACTGAATGCTTTTTTATTCACTTTTTTACCATGTGCTTACCAAACAGGCTTTGCCTTACTAAATTTCCTTTTTAATCCTAGTTTTATTGGTTTTTAGCCAGGTTTTTAATATTATTTAATGCTTTTTTTATTCACTTTTTTATCATGTGCTTACTAAATTTCCTTTTAAAACCTACCTTTTAATGTTTTTTTAAGCCAGTTTTTGGCCATGTGCTACTCAACAGGTTTTGCCTTAGTTTTTAATATTGTTTAATGCTTTTTTTATTCACTCTTTTATCGTGTGCTTCCTAAATTTTCTTTTTAATCCTGTTTTTATAGCTTTTAATGTAAGGTAAAGATCCTCTCTAAATCTTGGGACTACAGGATAGGTTCAACGAGCGCATTCTGTGACCTAGCTGTAAAACAACCTCTGATTGGTCCACCAAAAGGAGGGGCTAGCTCCCAGGAGCAAAACAGCTATCATTTCACTACCAACAGTTGGTGAAGTAGGATGTTTCGCTCTGCATGTGTTCAGTACCATAAACACTCTATTATTTAGTAACAGATCTCCTTACTCAATCACATCCAATAACCTTACCCAAACATCTCTCACTCTAATCTTTCAATGTATCACATTTTCTATTCTTTTATAGCATACCTTTTCTTTCATAACTTGCCCTTTAACAACAGCTCTCCTTACACCTTTTTTCAATAAACCTTACCCAAACTTTAAACTGCTCTCAATGTATCCAAACACAACACTTCCCCTATTAAAACGCGCGCAATTTTTTTTTTCAAAATGGCCAACGGCACCAAACTTCAGCGCCAACAGAAACGGGGTGGGAGGGCGGGACAAAAGAACCAAGTGGGGTGTGGAAACCTGTCAGAAATGCATGGTGATGAGTACTGTTGAGGCGTTTATTACTCCCAACAATGCAGTCAATGAAATTTTGAGTAATGGCTGTAATAAGGCTCCCTAACTCTTTCTGTTTGTGGCTTTGTATTGCTGCACAAATAATGTGTGCCAGACAGTTGTTCAACTCTAGGAATGTTACTCCTAAGAGTGTTCTTTGACAATATGTTGTTACTCTCTATTGCAAATTGTGCACAATCAGTGACAGTGTGCTCAGGTGCATTACTTGCAATTTAGCACCTGTTTCACTGTTCATAAAATATAGTTTAACAGTTACCCTCTGGCAGAGGACCATGGACCTGATCCAATAATCACTTAATCCAGTAATCCTCATTCAAGCGGGTAGTTTAATTGAAGTCAGTTCTATTGACTGAGGTTTCACAGTATCAGACCCAGGGTTTAATTTGTGCCAGGGCTGAGCCCCAGCACCTCTAAGCTTGGCAGTTCATAGCCCCTGGCACCTCTGGGCTTCCCACATCAGTTACGAAAGTAAAAAAAATTGCTTGAGCCCTGGGAGCTCTTTCATTACAAATTAAGCACTGATCAGACCCCACTTGTGTTTCAATATCTAGTCATTGTGGACCCAATCTTACATCCACTGAAGTCAAGGGAAAGAGTCCAATGGAACTAAGTTCAGAATGCTGAGTCAGCCTTCCTTTAAAATGGACTTGATTTGAAAACTTTTCTTAATGTTCAGGCCCTACAGTACAAGCTTTACTCTGGTGAGTAGTCCTTACACACAGCAGTTTCTACCTCCTCATTACTTACAATAAAGTACTCATGGCAGCAAGGAATAGTTGTACAAGTCACAGTTTCCTTCATTGTATGTCAATATTTCTTTCAAGAGTGGCAGAAATTAACTTATTAACAACTGTAGCAATGTATTTAATATATTATGGCTTTATGTATTATAACAGAACCACATTGACACTGGCATAACACAGACTTGCACCGACAAACTGCAATTTTGCCAACATGTTACAATCCTAATAAAAGATCCATGAACTTTCACTGACATAGCTTCCTTGCACTCTGACATTACAATGCTCTTTTATTTCCATACATTTGCAGTGGCAATATTCCAAGGTCTTTGTTAGAAAAAGTCCCCTGAAAGTGAATATTCAACATTTAAAAAAATAAATTGAAAATAAAAGTACTATACAGATCTTTGCAGGTATTTTAAAATTCAAAATATGTTACCTGTTTCAAATGAGTTTTAAAGAACAGACATTAAAGAAGTCTAAGCCCTTTCAAAGATTTTGGTCAATGTTTGTCACCTTAGATGACTAAAACAAATAGTCCATATTCTCCCTAGCGGTGCGGACACACCAGCAGATATGGTATGTAAAGCCCCAGGAAGATCACAGATTCATAGCTTCTCAGGCCAGAAGGGACCATTGTGCTCGTCTAGTCTGACCTCCTGTATAACACAGGCCATAGAACCTCCCCAAAATAATTCCTATAGTACATCTTTTAGAAGAACACACAATCTTGATTTAAAAATTCATTGATGGGGACTCCACCACAACCCTTGGCAAATTGTTCCAGTAGTTGAGTAGTGTCAACTTCCAGCCATTATTTTAGTTTAAGATCTTCCAGTGATATGCAACTGGCATAGTGGTTCTTATGCCAACCTCCTCCTGGTTAACAGTGTAAAGAGCTTGGCTGAAGCTTCCCTACATCCTAGTGATTCTCAATTGCTTACTGGCCTTTAGGGCTATTGTCAGTAGATGGAAGTTAAATCAGCCCTGAGGCTGCTCCAACTTAATGCTGGGAGAATGGCCTGGTGTCCAATCGGCTCAAGAGAACACTCCCTATACTCACTCTTGCTCATAACTTGCACTGTGAGATGTGTGGCTATGACCAATAATATGGGTCAATACTGAGATATGCTGAGATTTCACCACTAGGGCAGGTTAAAAACCAATTCTGAAAAATGTGTCCCTTTTTTCTCATGGAAAATCTTGAATTTTTCGACGCGCTCTGCTCACCACATTTTGATTTCAATGGGAATAGTTGGTGATCAGCAAGTCTGAAAAATAAAGCCACTTTTATTTAGGTGTTTAAAATATTGGCACCCATGTTTGAAAATGCTGCTCTTCCTACCTGCAATAGTCTAGGAAAAATAATTAGAGCTGCTGACACCTTATGGGAAACTTGTTTGTAGGACTCATGTATATAATAGATTTAGTGTGTATATATATATATATATATATATATATATATATATATATATATATATAATTAGTTAGTTAGTTATTTCTTTTATTCTTTATTACTAAAGAGTTAATTGTATGAATCGGGATCTTTGTTGTGAAAGAGTTTATTGGCACCAATAGAGGTCACAATTCTGTGTGACATCTAGAACTGTGTGAAATACAACCGCAAAACTACACAAAATCCACCTTCAACTTCCATTATAGGATGAGAATTCACATTGTGGCACTGAAAGGATCACAAGGTTTCAGGTGTACCTAGCCCTAGTTAATGAAATATTATAGTTCTGCGTGAAAATCATGCAACTCTAACGCTCATATACGTCCAACAACAACATACGTAAAACGTGGTTTAAGAAGAAAATATTCATATCATTCTAGTCTAGTCATCATTAGCAGCTATGTTAATGGTTATGATACCACCAACTATTATGGGTCAAATTCACTACTGATATAAGTTGCGGTAACTCTACTGGCATCAAGGAACTATCAGATTTTCTGCCTGGGGATATTATACAAATACAATAAATTATTGTATTATCATGGAGTTGCACCTATTTGTGTCTACTGTTGATTTTGCCCTACATTATCCAGTAAGGGATAAACACTGGCTATAGAAGAGGAATAAAGAAAGTGATTCTGAGTTCATACAAATGTTAAGGGTAGAGGTGGGCCTAAATGAAACCTGCAACATCAAAACACTCCTGGTGCTGTCTGGGAGTTCAGCATCCAAACTGCATTATATTTCCAAATTTTGCAGTTTATTCCTTCTTGCTACAATGGACCAAACAAAAAAACCTGCGTTTGAATGAAACAAACAAAAAAATGTGCATTGATGTTTAGAATGTTCAAAATCTGGATCACAATCCAAATTTTGGAGCTCAGGCCCATCTCTAGTTCTGGATAGGGGAACAAAGGAGAAAAATTAATGAGATAAACAGTTGTTTTTTTTTCCTAAGAAGAATGTTTATAAGGCTTTCCATGAGGTATCAGCTGCTCTTTAATACATCACTGTCTGGAACTTATAAAGAAAAGAATCTGAAGACATACCTAAATGCAGGGTTTCTGAGTACTGTAGAAAACAGCTATAGTTTTATTTGATTTAAGCCATTTAAATTTAAGCCTGATTCAATGCAAAACAGCAAAATACAAACTATTAAAAAAATAAACATTAGGGATTTATAATGGAAAGGGCCAACTCGACCTTAACTCTAGCAGTAATATGACATCACTATAATACAATAATTATATGCAATACAACAATCGGTATGCACAGTACAAATAGCTAGGGTTTGATATTTGTGGTAGACCAGTCTCTCAATACCACTAAAATATTAAATACAGCAACTAAAGTATTAGACTTGCACCCAGCATTAGCGTAACTTACTAGAAAAGACTAAAAACCATCAGAATTCTATTTCTAAAAGAAGCAATAATGAAAACTGCTCTGCACTCTGGAATTCACGTGACTAAAAGCAAATCACTACTTTGTAATGTGTCAGTCTGCTCTTTATATTAGCCCATTATTATTGGAAAGGTCAGAAACGTCTACATATGTCCCAAATGTCCCAAGTTCAAACTGTAGTGACAACCAAGTGAACAATGAGACAGCAGAATGCAATCTGAGATATTCAGGCCATTGTGCACAACAGGAAAAGGACACCTTTTTACTGAAATTTCCAAGCCCATTTATGTTTAAGCATTTAGCTTCCTGTAGTCTCTTTGACCAGTAAAGGTTTGAAGGGACTTGCCAAGGGCTCTGGTAAGCATATTCTGGCTTTGGTTTGATATGACAGATCTACATGGTATTTTGTCACCAAAATTTAAAAGTGCAGCTACATACTGGTGTTGAGGCAAAGTCTGGCCAACCACATAACAACTCTTTGCACTGTTAAGTGCCTTCCATCAGAGGATACTGAAGTGCTAGACTTACATTAGGTAAGCCTCACAACATCCCTGTGAGGTAGGTAAAAGATATATAAGGAGTACTTCACTCTTCAGACATGAAAATGTCTCTGGGAGGAAAGCAGAAGCTCGTTTACACTGCAACACAAAATGTATGGGGCTTAGCAGGAGCAGAGGACTCCCTCTTCTTTTGTAAGGTCACATTAGACACAGAAGGAGAAGGTAGAAATCTGTAGCTCCTGGGCTGGTGCTGTTCTGCTACATTAACTCATTTTTGTACGGTTAGTAGTAGAGCAGGATGTGGCTCTACTCAGGGGATGTGGCTATCAGTTCTTGAGGAACAGAGTTCCATAGGAACAAGAGGCTATATTAGAGATTCTCTTCTCCCCTTACACCACTGTAAGGACTCCAGTGTGCCAGTTCACTATGCTGATATTGGCTGGTTCCTTGTGCAGTGCCCACTTGTGACCCATCTGTGAAAAACTTGTTGAGGATGAGTTACTACTACTATGATGCATTTTGTGAGTTGAACTGTTGTGTAAAATGTTCCTGACTTTGGGTGGCCACATTCCCCCAGCTATACAGAGCTGACCTCTCATGTTGCAAAAGGGCCAGAAATAGTTAAATGGCGGGGGGCAGAAATGCTAGTGCCTATCTATCCCCATCTCTGAACTACCACCACCCACATCCTGTGATCTTTCTGCGGTTCTGCTCTTCTCCAGACTGCACAGCATGGGAGAATTTTTGGGCCTAAGATGAGAACATCAGTTTTCATTCCCAATAGATGCCACCAATGGTATAGAATGTCATTAACCACTAGCAAATTCAGTATATTGTAGGATTGGGAGGAAAAAAACCCCATATTCATGTTTAGAATTCTGGAATACTTTATGTGAATCACAGGAAAAGGGAAACAGAAGTAGAAGAGTTTTCTTAACAGTAGCCACTACAAATATATATCTGTATTTAACGTTAAAAAAAGAGTTGGCAAAAATGATAGGAGCATATTTGAGTGAAAAATATCACTCAAATGCTGACACAAACATGGAATATTTAGGTTATTTGTGTATTACATCATCACAGAGGCTGGCCTTTCATGTGCAAGATAGCTTTACTGGTTAATTTTGTGTTCATGGATCCAGGTTATTTTCCTCTTTTGCCCATATCCATTTGAGTTTGATGAGCATTTATGATAGTTGTGCATTAGCAGCTGTGTAATTACTACACAGGTTGAGTAACATATCCTGAATACCACTGTCTCATAAAATCATTCAGAGGAGGTGGTTTATGGATTCTGTCCAAGCAGCTATGCGAAGTTCTCCTCATAAACATTGTATATGTTCACGATTAGAGCTTTAAAATGTTTTTTTTCCACTGATCAGCAGTGAATATAATTAGCTTATGAAATTACAGTGTACTAGGTGAGTGGTATCTCTCAATGTATGTACACGTTATTTAAATATGGAAATGGGGAGACTGCATATATAACAACCGGCAACTCAAAAATGAGTTGGCTTCTCTATAATCATGAAGAGACAATCTGAGTGCTGAAATGATTGGCATCTATCATGTAAGGTTGACTTTACATCTTATGCCGCCCCTGTGTTTGGAACCCTACACACTTCCCTCTCCTTTTTTCCATTCCTTCTGTTCATTGCAACACTGATTGTCATAGATAGTCTTTGTGCTTTTGCATAATGCCCATCTTTGATGTAACAGGAATTCACATACAAAACTTGGTCATTATAAGTAAGCATGCTGGAATACAGGCAGGGACCATACAACCATGCACAAAATACTTTTTGAAGTTTTTTCAAACTGACGGTAACATTTACATGCACCACTTAATATCATGTTTGGTCATGTACACTGAGCACTGGATTTCACAAGCATTCATGACCGTCTCTTCTTGCAAGAGTTCCTTTACAGTTTTAATAAGAGCCCAGTGAAAGAAAACTCCCTGCAATTCTGATCTTGTCTTCACCATTTCAATGTCAAACGCTCTTAGATTTTCACATATTGCACCTCCTCTTGCAAAACTTCCCATTAAATGGTTAGTTAGAAACAGAGATTAGTGTGTCAGGGATTTTCTTAGCCACTGGAATAGTTCTTCTTTATAAAGCATTTGCCACCGTACATTGGCTTCCACTGTTTCCACAGCTCGAGAGAAAGAGGAGGCAGCTCCTTCTTTGTAGCTTTTTATAAAATTCTTCAGCTGGAAATACAATTTAAAATCAACAATTTAAAATTGAACTGAAGTGAGGAAGTCTTTTCAATGCATGTAAACAAGTCAGATATTTAGGACAAAACTCTACATTCACTGCTGAAGTAAATGTAATATCATGTAGAGAGATTTACTGCAAAATGCAATAAGACAGCAGACTGTATCAATTAGGTGTGATGTGCTTGCTTCAAATTGCACTGTAAGACATTGACATGTCAATGCCGGATCACATTAATATCATCTCCTCCTTCTCTCTTGTAGCCCAGCTGCTACACTTTGCAGACAGCTGGGCTGCTTTGAAGTCTTACTCCTACTTAAAAAACTAAATTGGGAGTGTTGGAAATGCTCCCAGTTCAGCTTTATAAGCAAAAGTCAAACTGAAACAGCTCTGCTGCCTCTAAAGAGGGTTGGTTTAATTAAACATTATAATAGATGTTTAACTTAGCCTTGCAGAACTACTTATGTTACTGCTGTACAGATTGATTGTTTAGAGGAGAGTGGATCAATTTAGGAAGTTACTGACCATAGCTACAGTGTGAAGAACCCATCAAGAGCAGTATGTTGCTAATTATTCTCAGATTTTGGACTACTGAAAAAGATTTTCTGTTACAGGGAAACTTTGGTTTTGGTCAGCAAACAGAATGGGTATTAGCTCTGACTTGTATGACAATCAGATTTGGGTTACAGCAGATGTGGCATCAGAATTTGAGTTGCTTTGCTAATGGCACTGATTTTCTTTGGATTAATATTAGATTTAGTCAAAGACATGGTAGGGTGACCTGCACTGCATGTTGGTGGGAATCTTATATGTCACATTGTTGATTTTTAGAAGAGGGTGTTAATAGTTGGCAAAAGTTTCTCTCCTGGTGAGGCTAAATTTCATGCATTTATTGAAACTTGATCTTAGACTATAGCATTTTATGCATTTGTTTAAAGCTAAAGGGTTTGATCCTGCAACTGAGGCGTTCACCAACCTCAGTTCCCACTAGCATTAACAGAGCTTATGGAGGGGGCTGAACAACTCACAGGAGGTGCTCAGCATCTTTTAGGAGCAGACCCTATGTTTGTACTCTTTTTTACTGATATACTTTCATGGCCAGCTTGTCTCAGGGGAAATGGAGCAGCCTACCAATGTTATGGAGGTGAGAATCCGGAGTGCAGTATGCCCTTACACGCTGTCTCAATATTGAGAACAGGCTCCCAAATGGATGGCTATCACTCCCAAATGGATGGTCTTTGGGAAGCCAGCTGGGGCTATTCCTTGAGTTCTGAGTTTGTCAAAACTGGAGTGCACAGAAGAGGACAGCATAGCCATGAAGGCTGTAACCAGCCCTTGGTTAGCCGTCATTACATTGTGTACAAATCATTTAATCCATTTGAGATGATACATGGCAGCTGCTAAGCTCACCACAAAACTACCACACAACCTCAGACAGGCAGGTGAAGGATACATTCAACTGAAAGATCTGGCTAATTTAGGCAGGCTGTATATAATTACTGAAGTAGAATCTGGCCAGAATGCCATGGTTAACAGCTATCCCCATACTTAAAGTAATGATGGTGAAGGAACAGGAGACAGAACATTGACATTGTCTATTATCATAAAACATGGAGCTTTTAACTTTCTCTACAGCATCTACCTAAAAGGGATACAAGAGGCCAGTGTTTAACATCTTGACCGATGGATGGCACCTCCAGCAGCATAGCCCACCTAGTACTGTGGTAGTGTTCTAGTCCCTGTGCAGAATTTGAGCCATGATCATCTGTCCCAAAGTCAGAGAGCTGAGAAATAGTTTACATATAAGCTTATAGTCCTATAATATTTCTTAACAGCTAAAAATCCCAGTTTAAAGTCACACACCTGGTTCCACAGCCACAAACTGTAGGGAGAGCAACAGAACGGGAACGCATAGTGGTGGCTTCAGCATTAAGACCAGAATAAGTTTAATACTGTCATACAGCAGAGAAGGAGTTGCCTGCTTTATCTCCCTCCACTCACAGACCCCACCCAGGATCCTTGGCAATCTGGTTTAACAGACTACAGAACATTACCCTCTTGCTGCCCAGTAGCAGGATGGGCCTGTGTCACTTGCTAGGCACCAAGAGTTGCTAGATGACTGGATCCTCCTTCTTGTCCTGCAGTGCCTGGTCATACTGAGTGAGAGAACCCCAAAGTAACTCAGAACCTCCCTAAGCCACTGTCAGTTCCCATTCAGCAGAAAGATTTTTCAGTCCCTATGATCTTTGCATCTGCTTTCATCTTGGTGCTACTGCAAGACTTAAAGGGTTAAGACCCCACGACTTAAAAGGTTAAAAAAAAATAAGACAAAAACAAGTTCAAGCACTGAGATGCATGAAATATTTACCTCATTTAGTTCTTCTTCAGTATTAAGGAATTCTGTGACTCCACTGATAAGTTTGGAATTCATAAATAATGCTTCTCCGTATCTTCAAGGACAGAAAAAAACCACACATATCAAATTAGCATAAGTATAACATCAACTGAATGAAAATATTTGATTACACAGATTTCCATTCAAGGACTATAGCCAGTTCAAAATTCAGTAATAACAACTGGTCCATACAGACTGCAAAGCCGACAGGCAGAAGAATAGCCAGTCTAGGGAAAGGGCATGTGGCACCTTTGCACCTGAAGCCTTAAAACGTACTTTTTTTTAGTTTTGTGTTCTCTTTTCCATTCAATCTTACCCATCTCGTTTGCATAACGAGTAGCCGTTACATAAATGAGCTGAATCTGGTTGTCAACATCCAGTACTTAAAGGCTTGCTTAAAGATGAAAGTTAATCTGGTATAAGGTAGTGTGTGAATTTAAAGCAGACTAATTATTCCTGATTAGCTCTCTGTGGATGCTCTTATTCCAGAATAAAAATGTCCCTTGACGCAGTTAATCAGCAATAGTTATTCCACTTTATATTCTCACTTTAACTTAATCTAAATTAACTTCCCTGTTGTGACAAAGTTCCTCCTCTGCCTTGGTGGGTCCTGTGCCTATTGGTGGGTCCTGTGCCTCAGAGGTTCATGGCAGCCCTCAGTTTGGCCACTTTCATGGCTCATATCTGCCGTTCACTCAGTTAGCCTCATCACTGGCCAGCATGGGGAAAAGGAAGAAAAACAATCCCCGCAGTCTCTGCTGATCCACCTAATGGATCAGGGAACAGGCCAGAGACCTTCCCCTCTGGTGGAATCGACAGTCCAGGTCACTCCTCCGGTATCAAGTAGGGAGTTGGGGGGATGGAAGGAACCCAGGCCCAACCCCTACTCCAGGTTCCAATCCAGGGCCCTGTGCATTGCAACTGTCTACAGTGGCTCCTGTAACAGCTGCGTGACAGCTACGACTCCCTGGGCTACTTCCCCATGGCCTCCTCCCACACTTTCTTTATTCTCACCACAGGACCTTCCTTCTGTTGTCTGATAATGCTTGTACTTCTCAGTCTTCCAGGAGTATGCCTTCTCACTCTCACCTTCTTGCGCCTCTTGCTCCCAGCTCCTTGCACACACACCATAAACTGAAGTGAGCTCCTTTTTAAACCCAGGTGCCCTGATTAGCCTGCCTGTCTTAATTAATACTGGCAGCTTCTTGATTGGCTGCAGGTGTTCTAGTCAGCCTGTCTGCCTTAATTGTTTCCAGAAAGTTCCTGATTGTTCTGGAACCTTCCCTGTTATCTTACCCAGGGAAAAGAGACCTGCTTAACCTGGGGCTAATATGTCTGCCTTCTATCCCTTTCCTGTAGCCATCTGCCCTGACCCTGTCACACTGTATAACCCTGCAAAAGAAGTAACTAGTGTGACAAGATGGCCAATGTTAGTCTGGTGGGTCCTGAGCTTTTCTTGGTGGGGAGCTAAGATGCTTCACCTTGCCCCTGTTCTTGGGGCGTCAATGGCCCCGCTAGTGGCCCAGGAAGGTGGTAAAGGAGGGAAGCAGGGGAGGGGTCTGGGTTTGCTCCTCACTCTGAGCCCCAGCCCCTCTCAACCCCTGCGGGTTCTTACCCTCTTCCACCTTGGGTGGGGTATCTGCAGTCCTTAGATGCTGGGGAAGGGAGTCTCCCTCCCCTAACTGGGCAGGACCCCCCTTACTTCAGTTCTCTGATTTTCCAAGTCTCACAGCACACCTCCAAGCTCCAGTCCTCTCTCCTTTCTCCTCTTCCTCTGTCTGCCTGAAACAGGGGGATTTATTAGGTTCCCTAACAGGGCCTTAATTGACTGCAGGTGCTCCAATTAACCTGCAGCCACCTTCCCTAGTCTACAGAGAACCACGCCTTAATTAGCCTTGTGCTTATATATTTTCCCTCTAGCACTCTCCCACTGCTCCCTGGCCCTCCTGTATCACATATCCCCCCCTCCCCAATACCACAGGGTTGGGCTACTTGGGACAAGAGACAATGTTGTCGTGACAGGCTGTCTACGTTGCCGTGTTGGCTTCCGGCTCTATGCTGTATCCAGAAGTGGAAAGGTTGTAGGGATAGAAACCATCTAGTCACTCGTGCATTCTTCTCCTTGTTTGTGCGCATCCATTGGAGTGGGGCATGGTCTGTCACAAAGGATGAACCTCCGCCCAAGCAAGTAGTACCATAGAATCTCCATGATCCATTTAACTGCTAGGCATTCCTTTTCTACTATGGTGTACCATTGCTCCCTGGGCAGGTGCTTTCAGCTAAGGTAAAGGATTGGGTGCTCCTCAGCCCCCACCATCTGTGAAAGGACGGCCCCAAGACCTACCTCCAAGGCATCAGTTTGCAGGATGAATTCCTTTTTGAAAACTGGGGCTATGAGCACCGGGTGGCTGCAAAGGGCCATCCTTAGGTCTGTGAAAGCTTCCTCTGCCACCTCGGTCCACTTAACTATCTCCAGGCCCCAAGCTCTTATCAGGACTGTCAGAGGCACTGCCCTTGTGGCGAAGTGAGGGATGAACTGGCGATAGTACCCTACTATCCCTAAGAATGCTCTGACTTGCCTTCTTGTGGATCAGGCAAGGCCATTCCTGTATTGTCTTCACTTTGTTCAACTGGGGCTTCACCAGGCCCCTTCCAACTAAATACCTGAGGTATCTGGCCTCAGCTAACCCTATTGCACATTTAGATGGGTTAGCAGTGAGGCCAGCCTGTCTAAGAGCATCCAGTACCACTTCCACTTTTCCCAGGTGCATCTCCCACTCAGGGCTATGGATTACCACATAATCTAAATAGGCAGCAGCATACTTGGCATGGGGTCGAAGTAATCTGTCCATCAATCGTTCGAAAGTCACAAGGGCCCCATGGAGCCCAAAAGGGAGGACGGTATATTGGAAAAGGCCATCAGGTGTAGAGAAAGCTGTTTTTTCCTTGGTGCCCTCAGGCAGGGGGATCTGCCAGTAGCCTTTTGTCAAGTCCAAGGTGGTCAAGTATCGGGCCTTGCCAAACTGATCCACCAGCTCATCAATACATGGTAGGGGGTAGGCATTGAATTGGGATACCTTGTTTAACTTCCGGAAGTCATTACAAAACCTCAGGCTGCCATCAGGCTTGGGGACCAAGACAATAGGGTTGGACCACTGGCTGTGTGATTCCTCAATTACCCCAAGTTTCAGTTCTCTTTTTGCCTCTGGTATGCGATATGGTTTTATCACCACCCTTGCTCCAGGACAGCTGACAATGTGGTGTTGGATCAGCATTGTACAGCCTGGTTGTGTGAAGAACACATTCTTGGTTCTGCTGGATCATTTTGATGACCTCTGTTCGTTGTTCTGGGGATATTTTGGGGGATATCTTTACTTGCCTTTGTGGGCCATCTGCCTGGGATGGAGCCGGCAGGACGGCCAGGCACATCTCCCGATCGAGCCAAAGTTTCATTAAGTTGATGTGGTATATCTGCTCTGGCCTTCGGCAGTCTGGCTGATTAAACTTATAATTCACCCCCAATGGCTTCCACGATCTTACATAGGGTCCACGCCAACTGGCCAGGAACTTACTTTCTGTTGTTGGTACCAGCACCAGCACCCGTTCTCCTGGTTGAAATTTCCGTGTTTTTGCCAGACGATTGTAGTAGGTCCGTTGGGCCTCTTGTGCTTTCTCCAAATGCTCTCATACTAGGGGGTCACTTGGGCTATTTGTTTCTCTCATCTGGGCTACATGTGCAGTGACGTTCTTCCCTGGGTTGGGTTGTTCCTCCCATTCTTCCTTTGTGATGTCTAATATACCACAGTGGGTGGCATCCATACAGTAGCTAGAAGGGGGAGAATCCAATAGATGCTTGGGGAACTTCTCGCACTGCAAACATCAAGTATGGTACGAGGGTATCCCAGTCTTTTCCGTCTTGGGCCACCACCTTTCGGATCATGCTCTTGAGAGTGCGGTTAAATCGCTCAACCAGACCATCTGTTTGGGGATGATATACTGAGATCCGCAAGGCTTAGATGTAGAGAAAGGTACGTAAGTCTTTCATTACTCTCAACATGAAGGGAATCCCTTGGTCTGTCAGGATCTCCTTAGGGATGCCTACCCTAGCGAAAACCTGCACCAGTTCTTTTGCGATCGACTTGGATGTGGGATTTCTTCAAGAAATGGCTTCAGGGTACCGTGTAGCATAGTCCAGGATGACAAGTATGCTTTGGTGGCCTTCGGCCATTCTTTCTAGGGGGCCCACTAGATCCATTGCTATCCTTTCAAAAGGGACTTCAATTATAGGCAAGGGTATCAACGGGGCCCTTAACTGAGGTCGGGGGCTATGCAGCTGGCACTCTGAGCAAGAGGTGCAATAGCGCTGGACTTCTGCCCGTACCCCTGGCCAGTAGAACCTCCTTAGGACTCTATCCAGGGTCTTGTCTGCTCCTAGAAGTCTGCCAAACAGATGACTGTGAGCTAACACTAATACGGCCCTTGTGTGCTTCCATGGCACCAAGAGCTGTTCTATTACTTCTCCCCGTATTGGCACTACCCGGTACAACAGATCCTTATTGATTATATAGTATGGCCCTGGGCCTTTGGTTTTCCCTTCTATTGGCACACCATTTACTTCTACTACCTCCTCCCTCACGTTTGCATACAATGGGTCATCGGCTTGGTCCTGCCCAAAACACTCGCGTGCGGGACCGATCTGGCCTGATTCTATTGGATTGGGCTCCCCTCCTTCTCTTGGGGTGCTTGTGCTGGAAACTGTCTCTGGGTCTCCACTGGTCCATACTACCTTGTGGATTCCCTGGTGGGGCCTCCTCCCAACCAAGGCAGCTCTCTGGTTTGCTGCCAAAATCCTGGTTCCCAATAGTTTAGCTGCCCTTCCTTTCCCATCTAGATTTCCGGGACTTCCTGGGGGGTGAAAATAACTCTGGAGAAAACACCACAAAAATTGTGGTAGGGTCATCCACCTCAAACTCTTCTGGGGGTTTACTTCCCTCCCCTAACTTGATGGGGGGAGTAAGCTCTCAAACCCAGGAAAGTCCCTGCCAATTAAGACCA